ATAATTCCAAGGTACCTGAATGCCAGCTTCCAGCTATGTAACTGTTTCTATTATTGGGAGTTCTAGATTTTGCTTATACCTTCAGTGCCATCAGGCTCTGCCTGCTCCTCACGCTGCTTCTGCTTGAACTTCAAGTTCCCATAGTGCATGACAGCCCCTGTCAGCTTGTAGATGGCTGTCTTCTCATCAGCGGTGAAACCCAGGATGTCAATGGCACTCTGCAACAGTATCAGCCAAATAAACCTCTGGACCATTAAAAGGAACTTTCACCTTCCCATTATGCTCTGTGCCACTTACATCTGTAGCCATCAGCTCTTCCTGGTCATTAATGCTGGCAACAGTGATCTCACCTTGACTCACAAACTGGTAGTCATATGGGTTGGTGGTGATAAGGAGCATGTCTGTAAAGAGGAATAGAATATATTTAGGCATAAGAATGAAGATAAATGTTAAACACATTCATCAAACAATTTCTCATACTACCAACCAATCAACTCTGGCTTCTTGTTGGACATGATCTGATAGAATATGTGGTAGCTTCTTTCTGCCTTGAGCTGGAAAGTGACTCTGGACTTTTCCAGCAGATCTGGCAAGGATGGTAGGACACAGTTAGGTCTGAGAATGTACATTGAGGTGGAAAGGGAAGAAGGAATGTGATCAGGTCAGAAAGTCTCTTACATGTTTCAATGTCAGCAGAAGCCAGTTTCCCTGTGGCCCCAAAGTGGATTCGAATGAATTTGCCCTTTAGAGGGGAAAGAAAAAAGGCATTTTGAAATTTTACTGAGATAGTAATCATGTTACCTTATATTCTCCACAGAGGACAAGATTTAAACTTAGGAGTTATTGTATTGTTTGGTTCTGGTTGGGGCTTTTTGTTTGTTTGGTTTTTTTTATGTTATTTTTATTTTCATTAGTTATTTCCTTAAAAAAAAAATGAAACAAAAATATATTAAGAAACTCTCTATACTAGGAATACTTAGTTAAAGAACTGATCTGAGGTATTATTTTTTAACAGATTATTCTGAATGCACAGGAACAAGAAAAAAAACAGCAAACAAGCCTTTCATTAAGGCAATTATGCCTCAATTCAGACACATGGGTATAGAAAATGCAAGATGAAGTTGCTTCAAGTTTTACTCAGCTAGGACACTGTGAAGGTGGATTTTGATGGCATAAATATTAGGTGAGATTTTTAGAAGCTGCTGAAAAAGCAGCTGTTACTTTCTGAGCTGTGGGGATAAAGGCAATGTACCCAGAACATGGAACTTTAAGCTGAGGCTAGGGATTGGTGTTGTGACTTCTCAAGGACATTCACAGGTTATCTTATAAAATTTACAAATGTCTTTTTTCATTAAAATTATTGAAAGGACATATCATAGGTTTGTTTGGTTTCTGATAGGATGTGTTGAAGTCATCCCTTTCCAGAAAACTTGTATCAATGTCTGATTAATAGATCTGCTCAGTTCTGTGTCTACAGAAAAAGAGGTCTATATTTTTGCTGATCTGATGCAGGCAAGTTCCATCTTGTCTTTTCCTCTCTCCCTCCCTTTGTTCTACATTATCTCAATTCACACAAATTTATTTACTCCTGCTGTCTGACAGATATCAGGAGTATAAATATATATATTTACAAACATTAAATAAGAGAGATATTTATGCATCTTTGCTGTACTACACTTTTAAAGCTTTATTGTTAATTAAATAGTCTAGTTAGGTAGTTTTTGTTGACAAAAAAATTAGTTCAATCATCTGACCATGACAGTTCAGAAGTGACAGCTTCTGTTGTGACATCCTTGCTCAACTCTAGATGTCAGCTTCTCCAGTCAACAACTTACAAAGCGTGAGGAGTTGTCGTTTCTCACGGTCTTGGCATTTCCAAAGGCCTCCAGCAGTGGGTTGGCGCTGATGATTTGATCTTCAAGCGTTCCCTGCAGAATGACAATTATTGCTGGTTATCCTTTCCAAAAAACAGATCAGAAGCAGAGAACAGCATAGATTCCAGCCAGTGTCTATTAATTTGCCTGCATTTTGCCTGATGTCTGCTCTTCCTTCTTCTTGTCCCCACTCGCTGCAATTGTTGCAAAGTACTGGATGACACGCTTCGTGTTCACAGTCTTCCCTGCTCCGGATTCTCCGCTGTGCAACCAAAGAGAGAAGCAGAGAGCGTGTGGTCAGGCAGGAGGTCCCCTGGCGCACCAGGCAGCCCCACAGGGACCAAAGCAGGGAGTGTACGTACGTGATCAGGATCGACTGGTTCTCACGATCTGTGAAAGAGGCAGAAACAAATGGACTTCATAAATGAAGAACAGGAAAAGACTGAAAATGAATTCAGTGAATATAAGTCATGACAAGAAAAATGTCTGTGCAGGTTTTCCTTTGCTTACTAGTTAGAGTTTTTAAAAATTCAATTCTTTGCAAGGTAATGATTATTTTTATCTTTTATAGGAATGATAAAACCCCTGAGGGGGCATGTGTTTCTTGGCTACTGCACCCTTTACAGTTTTTTTCTCCTGCATACAGAAAATTATTTCTTGTTTCGTTGTTTTGATTTTTGACTACACAGACTGTAATTAGAGTGGAGAGAAAGGGATAATAAAAACCCATTACAAAGGAATCCTGAGACTGGGTAATAGTTCTGAACACAATAGGACAGAGAAAGAAAGGAATGGAATGTTGGAAGCAAAACTAACAGCAATATATAATTCTATTTATTTTTTTCATGCAAGGGTTTTATTAAGACAAATCTGATCATTTGTGATATTGAAGCTTCCTTCAATGGTATGAGGATAATAAAGCACAGTGTTATGCATACATCAGAACCAGGAAAGCTTTCAAAAAGTCTGCTCATACTAGTGAGACAGAGTATTCCTTCAGAGAATTTCATGGTAAAATCCCTCTGAGAAAAGAGAACCACTCACCAGTCAGCATGAACTGATAGGCGTTGTCGGAGATGGAGAAGATGTGTGGAGGGGCCTCCTGGCGCTTCTTGCCTCGGTAGGCCAACACCACCTCCGGGTTGTACACCGGCAGCCACTTGTAGGGGTTGACAGTGACACAGAAGAGACCCGAGTAGGTCTGTGGGGAAGCGAGACAGCACGTTGGCTTCCACTTAGGCTGGCAGAGCAGTTCCTCCCAGCTACCCAGAGGAAGACTGCTGCTGGTACTTACGTAGATCATCCAGGCTGCGTAACGCTCTTTGAGGTTGTACAGCACAGCGGGTTCATGGAGGTGGGTCATCATGGCCATGTCCTCGATTTTATCGTACTTGGGAGGGTTCATGGGAAAGACCTGGTCATCCTTCACGGTCAGGGTCTGTCAGAGGAAGAAGGAGATGTACGTATGTCAGCTAAGAACTGAGAGTGAGAATTGAATGGTGTCCTTCAGCCTTGCTTCTTACCTCTCCACCTTCAGTCTTGACAGTGACCTTCCCCGATTCTTTGCTCTGGATTGTCCCTTTCACAAAGGATTCTTTAGGGTGGGCCACAAAGACCGATGTTTTGGCATCGAAAGGCTTGTTCTGGGCAGCAATTCTCTCCTTTTCTGATTTTCGGAGGTAAGGAGCTGCCTCCCCAAAGATGGCCATCTCGGAGTCTGACGACATGGCTGCAGCTTGTGGAGAGGCTCGTCAGCAGAGAACACTGTGGGAGAGCAGATATGTTGGCCAAATAAGTCAACTTGCTTCATTTCCACACAGTTTATTGAAAAACTTAGACTCATAGAATGTGTGATTTGGGAAGGCAGTTCTTAGGTCCATTTTTCCGTGCAAAGGAAGTCAAATATCAGATCAGATTACCCAGAGCCTTTTCCAGTGAAGTTTTGGTTATCTCCAGGCATCTAGATACTTCAATCCCACTTTATCCCCATTTTATCCCTTTTTCTTGTTTGACCACCCTGATTGTGAATTTTTTCATTTTCACACCTAATCATATTTCTCTTGTTGCAACACAGGTCTGTTGTCCTTCCTGCTTTCACTCTGCATGTATGAAAACAGCCTGGCTCCTTTTACCATATAACCACCCACTTTTTGTTAAAAATAGCAGTAAGACACCCCATTTCAACATCGTCTCCAGAGTTGACAGCCCTCACCCTTTCAGCCTCTCCTCATACAGCATTTGCTCCTGCCTGTGTTGGAAACTCTCCACTGAACTCCCTCAGGAATGTCAGTGTCTTTCTTGCCATGGGGGAGCACCAAATTGAACACAATACTCCAGATATGGGACCTGAATTCAGGGGAAGAGTCAAATTCCTTTTACCTGCTGACTACACTGTTATGACTGCCTGACAATGTACTTGGCCTTCATTCCCCCAAAAGGCACACTGCTGACATATGTGCACCAGGACAGACAACCCTTTTCTCAAAGGTATTTTCTAACCAAATGACAGCTGACATATCCTGTTGTGTGGGGCTATTCTTTCCTATATGCAGGACTTCATATTGGCTTTAGTAAAATTCATGAGCTTCTTTTCAGCTGCAGGCTGAAGAATTTTAGGAGCCTTCTTAAAGGTAACATTGGTCTGTAGCATATTCATGAGTCCCTTGGTTTGATTTCATCTGCTCAGCTCCTGAGGATACCTTCTATCTGTCACTGGATTGCTAATGGCGATGATTAAGTATCAGGCTCCTAGCACTCACAAGTTCCTAGCACTGATGTGTTCTATACTGTGGAAAGTGCCAGCTGAAAGATTTTTCTTTTTGCATTTTTAGGTACTGGCATAATTCCTGAAAACGGTGAAGTCATGCCTTGTCAAGCTAAGCAGGGTAACTTTTACACTCTTTTAATATTCTGTGTCTAGGGCTCCCAATCCCTCCTCAACACCTTGCTCTTTCCAGTTAGATTGCTAGATCTCAGAAGGTGAGAGATTTCATCAGGAAAATTTTAATTGAAAGCAGTTGTGGAGGACCGCTGCTGTGATTGACTGCAACATCGATAAAGCACTTGCAATTTTTTTAAGCTCAAAGCTTTAACACCATGCTGCAAGTGCTTTGTGTCCCTCTGCAGGTAAATATCAAGCAATGGATTCCAAAGCAGAACTGAGGCACCACAGTGAGCCAACATGCCAGAGGAAGAAGATAATCACACCTACCTGGAGTTACCAATCCAAAAAGCCCCACTTGCCAGTACACAAAATACAGGTAGGTGGGTTCAGAAGGTGCTCTGAGGACTAACTAGTGCATGGTGTCTTTTGCTGCTGCTCTAAATAATTCACTAGAGTTGTTTGCTTCTCATCTCAATGTTTAAGCAGCCCCACATGGTAGCATTAGTGTTTGAAATGAGGTGTGTATTTTGTCTCTGAAAGCAGAGTTTTAGGGCTAGAAACACCAAATGCAGTTTTCCAAACAACTGCACCCTTCCAGCAACTACCCTCCTGCTTCTCCTCCTGCCACACTGAAGAATGCTGCTTTCTTTGCTTCACAATGTCACTCCTCTTCCAGTGTAAAGAAAGGTCCTGTGATGAAGAATGCCTTCAACCTTATGGCAAGGGCAATCATCTCAAGCATGAATGGGGCAAATCAAACTCCCTCAGGCTAAAAGAAGCTCAGTTTCAAGTCTCCTCGTTTTTTAGTATAGACTCTGATTGTAAAGTGGGAGTTAAATGTGTAAAACTGCTTTCTTACTGTTGAAAGGACCTGTGAATATCAGCTGTGTTATCAGTGCTCTCTATGACCCCTTTGCCTGTCAAATTGTGTCCTTCAGGTGTCCTGGGGATACAAACAAATTTGTTTCTGGGTTTAAACAGAGACAGGTCTAAATTAGAAATAATCCTAGGTGTAGACAACAGAACAAGCTCAATGATTTAAGAAAGTCAAACTGGAAATTTTAGAGACCTGTCTGAACAAAATACTTTTCCTCCCATGTTCCATTGTCCGAGAACTTTAAAGTTTAGTTTCTAGTTAACTTCATATTTGATCTCATGCTTACATTTCAGTGTGACTCTCAACTTAAATCAACTGCACTGATATTTCTTTGACAATGGTATTAATCTGTTTTAAGTGACTTAACTCTGGGAAGTAGTATTTGAGCAATGATATATAAGGAGAGACAATACGTTAAAATACTGCATCACCAACTATTTCTTTGTGTGCTAATTGTGAAAAGAATTATATGCAAAGTTATAATGCTTAGTTCAAGAATTTACAAATCAAAGCTGGATATCTAAACACAGTACTGGATTTCTAAGGAAAACCTATGTCTAGTAAAAGAAAGCACCTGAATTTCTAGGAAGTCAGACAAATAAGCAACTTAATTAAATGTCGTGTCATGACTTCTAGTTACCTAAATAACCCAATCAAATGTTAACATTTACATCAGCTCCTAGCAGCATGCAGATCCTCCACTTTGCTCTGTGTCGTTTCAGAGGAACAGGAGCATTACATCTCCTTTTTTGTTAGCTTAGTTAGTTAACTTTTACATTTTTACCAAGTTTCCTAGTACAAAGCTCACATGCAGATCATCACCCTGCAGTATCATCTGAAAAGTATTTTCATATAAACCTTTGGCCAGTATCATATGCAGTAGTACATAGAATTTCTTACAAAGCTTTAAGATTTTGTGATAGTCTGTTCTGTTGGCTGGCTCTGTCTATCTGGACTTTGTGCCAAAATGTATCATTTACTTCACTGGTCCATAATTAAACATAAGGAATCCCCAGGAAGGATTCCCTGGCATGACATCAGTAGCTAGTGTCTTCAAGCACAGCCACTTTGGAGAGCCTTCTTGCCATGAGTAGCCTACACAACCATGCTGTATTTACCATAACCGAGCAGTGGCCAGGACTATGTGGACACGCAGCAATTGCCTGCAACATTTTACAGAAATTTGTCACCATGAAGAAATCTGTTCTACAGAAATCTACCACCTTCTTGTTTGTCCCTTAATTGTGAGTAAATTAGGCTCTTAACTAATTAAGAAGATGCCTTACCTAATGAGAAGATGCCTTGCAGGCTGGAAGACAATCAATGCTGTAAAGCAGAAATGGCAGATCCCTCGTTACTGCTGTAAAGGATTCCACAGGCAGGTCAGAAAGCAGAAATAACAACATTCTTTATCTTACAGGTATTAAATCCTTGCAGACACAGATGCGCCCACCAGGACAGCAGGGCTGAAGTGGGATGTGTGGACTGCAAGGACGCTGTTGCTTTCTGCCTGCCACAGACATGCACTTACCATGAAGTTTTCTTTGGAGACGGGACAACCCAGATTCAAGGACTCTTTTATAGAGTCTTGTCAGCGCATGCTGCAGATGCCTCCCTCTGTCTTTGGGCAAAGCATTTTTGGCAAACCTTGTTTTTGGCAAAGCATTGTCTGGCAAACTGAATGAACTGAAAATTGGGAAGTGATGCTACCAGATATAATTAGAAATATTTGGTCTTTGACTAGCTATGTGAATAAATCCCCTATAAATAATATGAGGAGATTCCTAAGGAGGGAATTTCAACTAATGCTGACAAGAGAGATAAGGATAACTACTATTAACTGTAGATGGTGGATGCTGCTGTACTCTTAAGTATCTGATGCATCCCATACTGTTGTCCTTAGCTATGTCTTGATGGAGGAAAAGTGGTCATACCACTGCTTAAGTTTCATGCTCTACTATTTCATTTGTTTATTCCTCTGACATTAGACAGGGCTCCTCTCTGTGGAAAAATACTTGGTGGTGGTTACCTCACCTTCTGAGTAGTTCAGCCAGTTATGACTGCTCTTACTGACATTTGAGTGGCGCTCGTTCTGTCCACCAGAGGTGGCAAGAACCATTTTGAGCTTTTTCTTTTTGTGTTAACTTTGACATTCTCTGCTGGGTGGCACAGGAGGCTAGGTCTCATTAGTAAGGGATCCAGGGAGCAATAGCTTCATTCTCTTCATGTTTTGCATGAAAGGCCTGAAGGCTTTGGAAAGCCTGAGAGAGAGAGAACTAGTGCTAGAACAGTTTTGGCAGATGGTGTCATGCAAACTGAAATAAACAATATGGATAAGATGGCTTACAATTACTGGTGTTCTCAGGTTCAAGTTACCTCGAAATGCTTCTTCTCAAGCAAAGGGAAATCCTTCAGATGTGCTTTTGAAAGCCACAGTGGAAGTATAACCATTTGCAGCACAGTAATACACCCCACTAGAGAGTCTCCTGCTGCATGGCAAGTGCACCCTTTCACCTATCGATGCTATGTGTTGCCATCAGCATTCACTCATCGTGTCACAACCTGGTATATTATTTATTTGTTCTACACAGGAATAGTTGAATTCATCATTGCTGTGGTGTTTCCTGCCTTGCAACCTCTTGCTCCCCTTTGGGCTGTTAAGTTGTCACCATTTTGGTTAGATGAATCCTATACCACATTTTTCTGCTTTGGCTTGCAATTTCAATCCAAAGAAATTTTCTGCTACTTATTAACATGTGTCTCTTGCTTCATGGAGTGATTCTAGTGATTTGTTTCCTGCTTTCCTGGTATTATGTGCTATGTCACTGCAGGATCATTTCTTTTTCCTGTCTTCTGCAAGAGTCCAGGAATTCCCAAGGCATCTCACATGAAAGACTACAGCCTTCTGTTGAAAAATCACTTTTTCTGCTTGAAAAAGTGATTGTGGCTTTTGTACTCTTCCTAGGAAGATTCAGTGATGTTACTCAGTATAGAGCTACCATAGTTACTCTCTGTCACTAGCTGTTGCCATCTGTTTATCTCATGACTGAATAAACTTAGGTATTGCCAAGTGAAAGTCTACTGAGCCAGTGGAACAGCTTACTTCTGATGAAAATAGGAGATTTAGTTCTCCCTGTTCTTCCCCCTGCTCCTCATTTTTGTTCAGTCCTGGGAAAGGAGGATTTGGAGAGGAGATGTGGGATCTTCCACCATATGCAGACCCTATTTGCCATTTCAACTTGACCTGATCTTGAGGAACTCCTTTAGGTTCAGCTATAGTTTCAGTGTTAATAAATCTCTGCCACTGTCAGCTTTAAGGAGCTAAGTGAGATTGAAAGTCCAAGCCAGGTTCATTTATGAGAGCTCTCAATGAAACAGAAAGCATTTTGTTCTTTTTCTAAACCTACTAAAAGAGAAAGAAATGTCTTAACATTTACCGTGTAAAACTGCTCAAATTTCATTTGAGCAGTTTCCTTTCATCTAATGAATGAAACAAACTTTGAAGCAAAAAGAAAAATGAAGTGGTTCCTGCTAATCATTATTTTGCTTCCCATCTATCTCTGCAGGGCTGGACTCCATCCACACTGGAAGCAAAGCACAGAACAGCTGAAAGAGAAGAAGGAGATTGAAAGACAACTCTGGATATAGACTGCCCTGCACAGCAATGCAGCTTGGGCAAAGTGCTGGGGTGCTGATACTCCCTGTCGAGGAGAGGGGATTCATGCTGAAAATAGATCCTTCTTGAGAAGAAGATCACAAATTACAGCATGACAGGGTGGCTGAGGGTGGAAGGGATCTCTGGAGGTCATCTGGTCCAACCCCCCTGCAGAACGGCCACCTAGAGCCAGATCAGGCAGTTGCCTCACTTTCTGCCACATCTTAGATACCACTGCTTCTCCCCCATGTTCTGTGTATATCGAAAAGGGTCTGAAAGTGAGAGGCCACATTTTTGTGCAGTTTGAATTGTGGAAGCAAGTGGAAATGTCTCAAGAATGCCAGTCCCCATGAAAATCCCCTTGCCACATTTGAGTCCTAGTTATTCATATTATGGAAAGGAAGATAAGCCCAATATCTTCTCTCTGACACCTGCCCAGAGGAGATACCCAGTTAGAATATATGAACATAGCAAGTGTGAAGTGTACTTCCCCTCTGGTGTATTGTTTGGAGACTTTCTAAGCCAGTGATAATGTCTTTGTATTTTGCATCTAAACCTCATTTTTATTCTATGAACTCGTCCATTTCCTGGAGCTGGAGTTTGCTAGTTCTGTACCAGAGGGACACATGTATATCATTCTGATGCAAAACCTAATGTATTCCATTGCAGAAAAATTCCATGTTATCATCATGAAGCATCATTATAATAAACTTTGCTAACCTAACTCATCGCATCATCAATGAATTTGCTATGATAAAAAAGTGCCTTATAAAATAAGGTCTTTCATTTATTTACAATTGCAAAGCAACAGTTCTGCAAATGTAGGAGTATATCCCGCAGTGGGGAAAACCTTTCTAAGCAAAGCTCCTGACACACTCATGCTGACCACAGCAAAAAGCATGGTCTGCAAGATGTCAGCCACCAGCAGGCTTACGGTGAACTTGCTCATCCTGCTAGCTCAACACAAGTTGTTGTGAGTAAGACAATCCCAGACTCTAGAGAACTCACATTTCCATTGAGATTACCTGGTGTTGTCTGTAATAGGTCTGCAGTCTCACTGCTCAGTACTTTCCTTAATAACAGAGGTCTGAGTTTTATTGCTGCTGGCAACAGGGCCATTAAAGCCACATTTGGCCTGGCCTTAGGCCACTGCCTGTAGGTGGCCTTGAATCAAATCCTCAGTGTCATTGGCTTTCTATGGAAAGGATTAGATAAGCAGGCAGCAAGAGATTAGAAGAAGTGCTAAGGAGAAGCTGGGATTTGTTTGGGAAATAGCCCCTTTTACAGTGAATGCTGTTGTGCTCATGAGTTAAGCGGCAGAAAAGTCACATGCACACTGCGTGCACTAAAGATTAAGGCTGTGGGAATCCAGAGAGCTGTGAAACCGATGTCACACCACAGTGTCCTACAGCCCATACATAGAAGGAAGACAGCACACCATTCAGGAGGCCACAGTAGTGGTGGTACCAAGGCTGCACTACCTGCTGCTGTGCCCAAGACATGCTCTCTTGGGCACAAAGATCACGGAGATGTTGAGCAACCACTCTGAGGAGGCAGTGTGCTTCAAGGATGCTTTGCTGGGTGCACAGCTGGGCCATAGGCTGTGAGGATTCATCCTGCTGTGTCTCCCAGAGGCACTGCAGTTGAGCTCTGTGGACTGTCACGAGGTGCTGCTTAAAGTGTGCCAGATGGCGCAGGAAAATTTATCTTCTGTTCCCTCACGTACCAGCTGACAAGGAAAGCAGAAAGGCATGTCTGTGTTACTAACATCAAAAATAAGTTTACTTGCTTACGCATGACACAATCTATTTATCTTGCCCTTCTCCACACGACTGAATTTTATAGAGGTCTATCACATCCTGCCTCAGTCATCTCTTCTCCAATCTGAAGATGTCCTTGTACGGAAACAGTTCTCTGTCTCTGATATTACTTGAGACCCTTCTCTGCACTTTTTGGGGATTTGGTTACCAAAACTAAATTCAATATCCAAGCATTAGGTACATGAAGAATTTATAACATGACATAATGGTATATTCTAAACTGTCATCAGTATCTTCCATAAAAACATAAAAAAAAATAATTCCATCTGTGTTGTCAACCCTCTTTTGGGATGACAGTTCAGAGAGCCATAATAAATTTACCAAGACCTTTTTCATGAATAAACAGGTTTTGGGGATGTAAAGAAATGATTAGTTTATAAATGTTAAATACCACTAACTTGTATTTCAGCTCATTTGTTAGAAAATCAACCAATTATTCTGCGTCATGACATTCTGTGTCATTTTGGTGTCACAGCAGATCTTACCGTGATTTTGTAATTTTTTAAAGTCCTTTTTCCCAGACCATTTATACATAAATGTTGAACTGCACATGCCCTAACTCATCTTTTGATGGCTTCCCACCTCAGCTAAGCATTTATTTCCCCATCACATGTACTGTCTTTTGATTCACAAGGTAAATATTTCTTTCCAGTCAAAGCAACTTTTGCCAATATCATGTGGGCGCATGCGTATACTTTTCAGAATCTCATCATACTGTATTGACTATATCCATGTCCCTGTTGATTCTCTTGAAGTCACACGTATTGTGAGACACAGCTTTCACCTGCAAATTCTGTTCCTGTTGTGGTTTCTGCCAGTTTGTCTTATGTAGGTGACATACTGACACATCTACTTCCTCACAGAAGTCTAGTATCACAGATAGAACATTTTATTCCTGTCATATTAAGCACGATTTAAACAACAGGCCACTTCTACAACAATTCAATCTGTTTGTTTGTTTGTTTGTTTCAACTATTCCTGGGTATAAAAAAATTGCTGAAACAGATGTGCCCAATATATTTTTTCTCCTACATCCTAAAGTATTGAATGAAAACCTTAAGTTAGCTGGGTTTCTCAAGTTTTTCCTCTATTAATAGATGTTCTTTCTGAAAACTTCCTCCTGAAGGAAAAATCATCACAAACTGTTCAGCTTTTCTGCTTGCATTCCTTTAGTGTTCTTTTTAAAATATAATTGTTACTTTTTCTTAAGTAATCTCTCACACAGGCTCTCTGTTCATAAAATTCTTATAATAGGCATATAAATATATAGACATATAACCATCTGGGTTATATTTTGGAACCTTTTCTCACATTCAAACAAATTAGTCCAAGTGTTGAAGTTAATGTAGTCACTCTTCAGTGATAGTTTTTGTCACTTTCAATGTTAATACTGAAGCTGTCAAAAAGGTTGTAGCAAACACTGAAACAGACGTGCAGAGACATATCTGCTATATAATAAACTGCATTAAAAAGCTCACAAATGATACACTCAAACATGCCAACATTTCCAGTTAAATTGAGTTTCTTACTTTTTTGGATTATGTATCTGATACACAATGCTATTTTATTCAAAAATGTTCCCCATGAGATTTGCAGTTTACAAGTGCTGTTGTCAGCCATGCTCTCAGTATGAGCAGGGCATGCTGGAGGCATCAGTACACCCTGTGGACCCTGATGAACTCTCTGACAGGGAATGCCCAGACTTTGCCACAGCAGCATTTCTGCTGCCCTCTGTGTAAAATGAGAGCTCCCAGAAATGTTAGCACCAGCCAAAAAGAAATGCTGATGCTCCAATCTACCAGTGCAAAACTTCTGATTACTGCCTTTCTGCTAAGATGCAGCTGAGTACTGGACCATTGCAATGGTAAGGACATACTTTGCATATAAAAATCAGTAAGGATTAGGTTAGATTAAATTAAAGTGAGGGGATATTTTGTATTTCTTGCAGGCAGCTTGTGTGCCATACTGTGGCTGGTGCAATGTGTTGCCTGGTAAGGCAGCATGTTTTAGAGATCTGCTCTGGCATCCCTAATAGAGAATTCCATGCTGGTACAGAGAGGGAAAAGTCAGAAAGTCTGAAACTTGTATGGACCTCTGGAAGAAAGTTGATAATGATCATAACTAACAAGGGACTTGAATACATCCTCTTGGATGAAAAGCAGTTCAGGATGTTCATTGCATGGGCTATGAGAGGTGCAAGCAAAAATGCATGCAGCTAGAGCATAAGACTGAGGATAGTGCCTTTGGTGAAAGTTGTGGGGAGTCCTTTTATTTGCTTTATTAATTTTTTTTTTAACTTTTTTTTTTAAATATTACTTTAATTTACTTTAATTTTATTGATTTTTTTTTTATTTTTAAAATTAATATCTGGCTTTTCCCTCTCCAAATCTTGTCCCTCTGTTCTTTGCGCTTGGTAGGTATACTCGTGATTTTGCTTCAGTTAATGGAAAACAACTTCCTTGGGTACAGAATTTTGGAAGTTGCATTTTTGTAAAGGCGATGCCATTCATTTCCAGAGTGAATTCCTAAAGACTTCCTGAAAAGCTACAATGACAGATAATCTGCAGTTAAAGAGAAGATATTTCACTGGGCAGTGGAAGGGAAGGTGATATTCCATGAAGGAGCTCTGATCTGTGATGTTAGGATAAGCAGTTCTTGAAAGTGTATCAGAACTAGCCAATTATCCACTTCCTATCTTCAGGACAAACTTGAGAGGATGATATTTGAGCAGTGTTTTAAATAAAAGGAGGGTGGTAGAGAGGAGGAGTGGAGGTTCAGTTACACAGAAGAGGACAAGGGTGGAAAGACTGAGAAGTCAATGGGAAGAAGAGGATCTCTGGAAATGTCTGAGATGTTGGAAAATGAATCAGAAATGACAGAAATCGGTGTTCAAAGCTCAATATTAGAAAAAGCAAACAGTTTGTATTGAGACAAAAAAAAAGATGATGAAGCATGATCTACCTACAGTAGAAACTTAAAGATCTTTGTATGGAGGTATATCAGCTTCATTTTCATTTTAGTTATTCAGACATTGCATCTCTTTTGCCGCAACCTTCCTCATGAAAAATCTCAAAAATCAGAATTTTTGAACAACCAAGGTTGTAAGTGACATCAGGAGATCACTTGGCTCAGCATTTCATGAGAAAAAGAGCCTAGATGAAATTGCCTAGCACCCTGTCCAGTCACATTGTGAAAACCTCCAGTGACTGAGAGTCCACCCATTTTCCTGGGGAGATTTCCCTGGGGAGGTTGTTCCAGTGAATGATTGTTCCACTGTAAGAATTTCTTACATATACCAAGGTGAAACCTCTCCTGGTCCAACTTGCACCAATTACTCCTTGTCCTCTCCATGTGGCTCTTTATGAGAAGAGAGATTCTAACCTGTTTGTAGTGACCTTTAATTACTGGACAACTGTGATGAGGCCTTCCAGAGCCATCTGTTTTCCAGGAAGAAAAGAGCTAACTCCTTTAGCCTTTCCTCAAAGGCAGGTTCTGCAGTCCACTGATCACCTTTATGGTTCTCCTTTGGACTCTCTCTACTCTGTCCATGTCTTTATGGAATTGTAGACATCAGAAATGGGCACAGTACTCCACGTGTGGCCTGACAAGTGCTGAGGAGAGTGGGAAGATCACATCTCTTATTC